TTTTTATACATATGGCTATTAAAAAAAAAAAAAGAAGAAAATGAAGATACCAGAAACTAAAATATGAGAGTGTTCTTTCAAGATGTTGTACCTCAGAAAAAGTAAAATCCTATCTTTTTTCAACACATTGCTGAGACTCACTATCCAACCGATCCCTCCGACCAATTCATCTATGGGGCATTAAGAAACATCGCATCAGTCATTTGGTACCAGACTATTTCTAAGCATAATATTCATTTCTTATAATAGCAGTACCAAAAACTGCAAAAATTTACTGTACCATCCTTGAGCATCAATAGAAATATTCACTACCATTAACATACGCTAATCTTTCTTTCCCAAATATCACATCTTCATTATTTCCCTGTCCATAGGTTGAGACAAATACATGAAATAGTACCAGAACAAAAAACAAACTGAATGTTTCACACAACTAAAAAACAGGCACAAAATTGGAGGATGTGTGTTGGAAATAATTTATTGCCTATAAAAGCTTTTTTATTTTATTCTTTAATTCACATTTTCTGTGTGGTTTTAAAGGTGGTGTTACGTTTCAGAGGTAGCGTGTTTAAAATGAAATACAGAACTGGAAAAGATTTACTTCATTCAGTAACACAGTAAAACGTTCACCATAACCAAAGCTCTGACCTGAAACCGTTTTCCTCACAGAGACATTCTTAAGCATCTTTTATTGAGAATGAATGCTTTTTTGTCTACAAACAACACCCACCACCACTAAGCCCGAGCTTCTGATTCTGCCCTTTTACATCTGCTGTCTTCTGACCACTGTGTCAGCGACCATCTTACACAGACAAACACTCCTTAGCCAAGAGTAGAACCCTATTCTATCACTGAAAACGCTTCGTGGTACCACTTGTTTGGTTTTGCTCATAACTTTCAACACTTGGCCAATGTGCTAAAAGATTAATTACACCATAAAACAGCTTTCCTTAATAACCATCTTGTCTTTGGCCAGGCATCTGACAAGTGATCAACATATTAAGTGTTAGGATGATTTGGGGCAGAAAAGGCAGAGTCCTGAAATGAAGGCTGAACGTCAGGCAGCTGCCAGTCCCCCCAGTACATAAAGCAGCCTCGTAGTTCCCAGCTGATCCGAAGGATCTGGGCAGCAGGACTGGAGGTAGTAAATTAAGCTTTTGGTTGCAACATTGCAAATTGCTCATTCTTCATGGTTCAGATATTCTATGTGCTATTCCATTTATGCATATCTTCTATCACTATCCTGAGACCAACAGTCAGCTACGACTACAGTACCTCTGGAAAAGTTAGTGCTGTGCATTATCATCTTCAACATCACTGACAGGGCAGTGCTACAGACCCCAAATCAGACAGCTGATGAATTCTGAGCATAATTTCTATAATAAAGATGCTCATGATATGGTTGATTTGTCCTATCATTTCAACTCTGTATCAACAACAGTAGATATTGCTGCCTCTGTTTGGTGAGCAGACCTGATGAGGTGCTTCCCGAGGTTAGAAGATGAAGTTGTAAGTTAATACATTCCTTTTCCTCAAAGACTGCAAAGTCCATGATCTGCTTGTCATTTTCAGACTTTTTATTGCCTTCGCAAAAAAGAAATTCTTGGAAAGATTAAAGTGCAGTGTTGCTTCAAGGACTAAGTACTGAAGAAAATTGACACTTGTATAGTACATCTGTTCACGTACTTTTAAATCTGCCAAAATTTACCCATTAGAATATTTACTATTACTCACTCCTGCCAGATCTAAAGACTTGACAGAAGCATCATCTGCAGGGAAATGAAAAGAGGCATAGCTTCAGGAAACAGCTTTCTGAAGTACAAGCAAGCTTGCTAGCATCAAAGAATTTCAGTGCTCCCTAAGGAAGGGAAAGCGTCCTGTTTCTAAGTGCCTGTTCTGAACTACCTTCTTCCACTTTGCTTTCTTCAGAAAGACATACTTAATCATTCATATTCCTCCAGATGCATTAGGAATAAAGAACACCTGCAAAGTCATCTTCCATGGACAAAGCAAATGAGAGCCTTAGCAGAAAGACGATGAGTACATCAATACATGGCACGTCTGCTGTTGTCAGTATCAGTGAGATAGTAAAGGAAGGCTTCTTTCTTTCATCATGACACAACACAATATTAGCTTTCTCTGTCATGTACAGTCTATACAAATGTGTGTTCTGTGGTCATCCACTGATCAGAGGCGGTAAACACAAACCAAAACCCTAAGCAAGTCCTGGGCCAGACAGCTATCACCTATAATTTTCCATCTTCTAAAGCACCTTCAGAGCAGAAATGAGTACCCTGGTGACCCTGTACTAGAATTTGATGCTTGCCAGCACAGCTGCTAAGACAAAGTTGGCCAGGAAAATGGATGGCAACAATGCCAAACTCCCTCACACTGTTCTAAGATGCAGGATATCTGGATTTGGACATAATTTGAGCAGCACATTTGTGTAGAAAATTGTCTGTCAGGGACACAGGCAAAGAAAAAAAAACCCTAAATCACAAAGCCATAAAGCATGCGTGCTGCTAGTCTGATCTGCAAGACTTAGATATGTACTGTCTGTAATTCTCAGGGATCATTATGTTTTATGTTACAGAACGTCCAAGCAAACGTGTAGCTTTCCAACCACTGTACTGCAAAACTATTGTTGCTGCAATATAAAATAAAAAAACAACAGCAGTGGTAGTATATCATTAAGATTTTTGTTTTACCTATGACAGGAAATATACACTGATATTGAAAAAAAAACCTGAACAAAGAGCTGTACAGTATTATCCCCTGTATGCTATTTTGTTATAGAGGAATATCATTTACACACCTTCTTTCTGAATTGCTGTAATATTGCCAAATGTTTCAGGGTATGAAAACAGGACTACTGTACTATGTTTTGGCTTGTCACTATACAGAAGAAGGGGACCAAAGAACAACATGCCCAGAGGCACAGTGTGGGTGCTGACTGCAGCCAGATTTCTAGCTGCACTTCCTTAACAGCAGTTCCAGTCCCTTTAGCAAGGGGACTTCCTTAAGAGCTTGAATCTGACAGTAGTTCATTCAAAAGTAATTTCTTCAATTTGTTTGGCACATCAAATAAAAGCAAGACAGAGCAAATATGAGATATTATCAATTAAAATTTTCTTGTAGAAAAGTGGATAATTTAACTGACTGTGAAATCAAGTCTATCCTGCCCTTTGCATTGGGAATTCAAGCAAAAGCAGCAGGAAAATAGGGTCCAAATAGTGGTAAATAACTTTTCTTTATTTATTTATTTTAATTTTAGCAAAGCTCACAGGTTTCATTGTCAGTGGCACAAGTTTCCTATCTAGAGAGAACAGTATCAGAGTATTGTTAACTCAGTATAGAAAACCCTTTATAAAAGATTTTTTTCCAGAGTGAGCAGAATTACAGTTGAACTCCTTCTTACATTTGAAGGCTAGAGCTGTGAACTTTGCTAACAAACCTTAATTACTTTTAAACCGGTGGTCATTTCAGCAGCATGAAATAATGCTCCTCCTTTGAGTAAGGATATCAGCATTCACCTCCCAGCCAGGGTGTGATACTTTAGTGGAGGCAGTGAGCGTGTGAGCAAGCCACAGCTTACACACTGCTTACACAGTGCCTTCTCTCTCTCACTCCTGGGATACTATTATTGAGTTAATATCTTAACTCAAGTGCAGGCCTAACAGCTTCCTTTTGTGGGGTTACTCTGTAAGAGGTTTTTTGAGGACTAAATGCTAACTGAATTATATGGTAGTCAGAATTTCAGAACTGTGAAATGTTTTTTTTTTTTAAACCTTTATGCAACTGGCACTTAGCAATATTGTTAAAAATCCCTCACGCCCAAGTACAACACAGAAAAAAAAAAAAAAAGATGGCAGAACAGAGCTCAGCACAGATCCTAAGAATACAAACCTGCAGGAGTGATTAGGGAGGACCAGACGGAGAAAACCTGAAATCATTAGTGAGTTAATCCCAGTATTAAAGAAAAAAATGTTTGGGGTCATCTCCTACGTGCCACCACTCCTGAATTTTCTGAGCCTCACCTAGGACCTACATGGAAATCAATGGGATTACTTACTGCACTGCATGAACAGAGACTCAACCGGACTGTATTATTACTCAGTGTAAAATTGAAAGATCAGGCTTTTTAACAAACTGTGAAAGCAGGTTTTGAAAATTGCTTGTTGAGGAATATACAGATTAGAAGATATAGAGCATTAGTAACATGGGCACACACTTACAAACCCTATTAAATTCATCTGAATGTGTCTGCACATCCATTAATTCAGACGAGAAAAGGGATTCAATGTGACCAACAGCTGGGAAAGCAGAAACTCATTTCAGCCACTGCCTGCAATCAAGCTCATAGTTTAAAAATGGCAACTGTGACATGGTAGTGCCAACAAACTTGTCAGACAAGGCTACTTCAAAACCAGGTCACATGTAGAAAGTCTTTAACGCTCAATTCTAAACACTTAAAAGCCTTTCAGGGCATAATGGATTTAAGAGAGCATCTTGATAAAAGGGAGTAAGGTTTGTTAGAAGTATATAAGTGGTACTTAAAACAACAAAGAACTTCAGCACTACACCTCAACAAATAAAAAAAGAAACTACATTCATAGAATCATAAAATCCCGTGCAAACCTGTCTAACCCACTGCTGTTGTGAGAGCATCAGAAAAAGTCACACAGTGCTACCAGATGATCTCATGGGCGGATTGCTTACAGTTATTCTGTACATCAACAGGTTAGTGATGATTTGAATTATTCAGTTAGCCTTTTAAAGTGTTTTCAACTCTTTTGGTCACAAAATGTTACGATTAAACAATCTGAAGTCATGTGATGAAAAACACTTTAGTTTAATTTCAGACTTGCAAAGAGTTCAAGCACAACTCAAAAAAGCTCATTATTCTATTTGGATTCTCAATTTTTAGTCCACCTACCTGAGTCAAAATGAGGAAAAAATTAAAACCAGGAATAGTGAGCAAGCAACTCTGAAAAACTGGCTGTTTGTGTAACAGGACATTTGTTTTCCACTCTTGGATCCCTGCTCAAAAAGTCTTTGCTACAGAGCAAGTGTTATTCTGGAAAGTCAGAAGTTATCCTAATCAAGGCCAAACTGCTAAAAGTGAAACATTTCCTCACACAGTTTTTTCATTTAGCAAAAACAACACTCAAAATTTCTTGACATCGCAAACTGCAGCCATTATGTACTACAGTCATTCTTCAGGGAGGTCTACTTCAACTTGGGCTTTCCTTTTTGGGTTGAAGAACACCGTATAGCAAAATGTTGTTCTCTTGAAACTTACACATTATGTGAGGTTTCTTTCTGTCAATTAGAAATAATTAAAAAAATGAAGTAAAATCACAAACTGTCCGAGGCATTTTTCTCCGATAAAGACGACAAGCTGAATGAGGTATCATCAGGCTCTGGTGATGTGTGATTGAAATCCATTTCTTCTAATTCAGGAGGTAAGTCTGAGAGCAGTGCCTATAATTAAAAGAAGTATTACAACGTGGTATTAGGTTTAGCTTTTGTATCAGCAATTGAAGTTAAAAAACAAAAAGAACACAACAAAACAACAACACTTTGCTGAGCTTTTTGGTCAATGTTCACACTGGATAGACTGGATAGACAAACAAAACTCCCACAGATCAGTACTGATAGATATTGAGAAGAAAAACGTTGACCAAGATGATGCACCTCTGACCAACAGTCCCACAGGGGCTTTCAGTTATTCTGGAAGCAACTCAAAACATTCTTCCCCAGACCGGATGAGATCAAATGACCTACATCCATTTCTTCATTCGGCCACTGTGAACACGCAGAAGCTTCACTGTATCTACAGTTGTGCTACACAGAGAATGTGCATTAGAAAGAACCAGATGCTGCACACAGAATCATTGCAGTTACGTTATGTATCTCTAAAGATTCGAGTTCACTTTTTTTAAAACTTAGTTCACATGGTTTTATGAAAAAATTATGAAAAAACTAGAAGCCAAAATTTGTTTCAGAACTAAAAGTGTTCTAAGTTCTTTTTTAGCAAGTTATAGTTTCTATTTTTACACCTGAAATACTGCAGACTCTAAAGGTGAAAGGAAAAAAGAGGCAACAAAATCTGTCCAAAAAAAACCCAGATACAAGACATGATCTGACAAAGTTCTCAAGGAAATGCTATGCATTAAATGCAACACGGTAAAACTGAAGCCTGGCTTTTTTTCCTATACCCACCTTGGACCTCGCAACAGACAAATCCAACTTGCTCAGTGCATGCTGTTGCACTGCTTGCCCTTTGGTGAAAGTAACACTTTTTAATGTCATTGCTCATCTAAATTGTGAGATCTTTTATTTAACTTTCAACTTTTCTTTGAAAGACGTTCTGCACACTGCTGTCCCTAATCATAATTTGAGCTTCTGGGCTCTACAGAATAAAAATAAGGAGATGACAGAACACAACACGACACGTACCCCTGTTATTAAAATCTACTTTGACACTCACCTGCTGCTGTTCCTTATCATCTGATTTAATAGCAAGTATCAAACTCCGTGTAAACGTCTGCAGTTCAAAATACTTCTGTTTGTGATTCTCCAACTCATTTTCAATGAATCTGACTTCTTCATTCTGAGGGGGATATAGTTTTGCATATAGTTTTGCAAGTAATAAATTGTACTGCACCACTTTAATACATACTAGTACTTCAAAGTTTTTTCGTGTAAATAAGTAAAACAGCATGTTATGATTCCTGCCAAAGCCAGTACTAAGTAAAAAAACTCGACAATTGTAGAAATCTTGAACATAGCACATAGACATTGGATACAGAGGTTCTACCAGGAGCATCGCTCGAAACCTACAAACACGTGCCATCTGCTTTCTCATTCTCCTCCAAAAGAGGACTGGAATGGCCAAACAGGTTCCACGCAGACAGGGAATTTCAAAATTCCTATCATTAAAGAATTAATGATTAAGCCTAAGTACATAAACTTAAAGGAAGCACTTCCATTTTAAAATAAAGAAAAATGGAGCCTAGGTCTCTTTCCAGAAGAGATGATCTTGCAAAGGCAGACTGACCTGTGACACGGAGCAACAACTCACTTCCATTACTACAGCAGTAAGTCTGACATTAAGGCAGGGAAACTAACTTGAGGATTCATCGAAGTTACCAAAATTAAAACACAGCATCCTTACAACAGCCAAATTTGCCATGTGTTGCAGAGCAGAAGCCTATCAACCCCCCAGGATCTCTGAGGTTAATGAATAAATAAGAATGTATTTATAAGAATAGAGAAATATTAGTAATCTATACAGTGAATAAAGAGACATTTCATAGAGTCACAGAACTGTTGGAGTTGGAAGCTTTTTCCAAGCTGTGTATAAATGTATGTCACTGTACCTGCAAATCACTTCCGTAATACAGAAATAACAAACACCTCCATTAAAAATTTAGACTGATACATACTTCAGTTTATTTCAAGTAGCTCTTCTCCCTTAAACTTACCAACTGATTGGTATGTAAGATCCAAACACTAAATCTATCTACTGATCAACTAAAATTAATCTTCTCTAGTTATTAACCTTTGAAAAGATTCACATAACCTAAATATGCAGTTCACTTTTAAGAAACAAAATCATTGTGCATTATTGCAAAAGATATCTGCATAGTGGCACCAAATGCACAGCCTCTGTAAGATAATAATGATAAAAATTCCCATTAAAATTATTACTGGATAGAATTAAGATTATACATGACACACACAAAGTAAGCATGTAGGTTCATAGAGACTTCATGGCAAGTGCTGTGTTTACCAGGGGATATCAAAGACAAGAAAATGGAAGATAACAATTTAATACAGACAACCCTGAGTAAATTCTAAGCTGAAGTTTTATGAAGATTGTTCCATAACAAAACTGTGTTCTCACCTACTACACATCCTGTTGCACAAGACCTCACCTGTAATTCACAGTCTAGCTTTCCTGTAAGCCTAAACCTCTGCTATAGAGTACATAACTGGAAGAAAGAAGGGGAAAAGGGAAAAACTTCCTGTGAATGCCTTAAGAAGTACATGTGCAAATTTGTTATGGTAATCTAGATATGAGATTCTAGTATGAAGCCATTTTATATAGGTTTCATGTTCCAATAAAATAATTAAGAGTTTTTGGACAGAAGATCAGATAATGTAGCAGAATATTCCCTTTTGAAAATAAATAACAGAGAGAATTAAAAAAAAAAAAAGCACCACCCTTATTAGGCAGCCACATGACTAATTAGGTTGGCAGCGGTGCACATAAAACATTCCTTGCTGGCTGGTTTTGATGGCAGCAAATAGTTACATAAGCAAACTTCAATTTGGGGGCTTACATAAGAAAATCAGCTTAATGTATTTCTTCTAGATGGAAACTTACAAGATGCTTATGTAGCAGTGGATTTTGGCCAGCCGGAGATGGAATTCAGATTTATGCACAAAAGACATAGCCAGAAAGACTAATCACTAATGTCAAACAACAAAGCAACAAACAAGACTCTGTAGGGCACGCTGTCACAACAAGCCTTTCAGTTTGGTGACAGGTGACATTATGAAAAGGTCATTCCCTATCCATATTCATTCTGTACTGCCCTTAACAGGAAAATACTGCTTGAGGGAGTAATTTTTGTTCCGAACAGATGATCTATTCGTTATTTTGGTAATGGATTATCATTAGAAGAGCATACCTGTTTCTAACTAAAAAAATTAGCTGCTTACATAGAAGTGTGCTCAGTACACAATAAAGAGCTGTGGCAACTTGTGTGAGAGCTGTAACAAATATTACCTTTGCCATTTGGGAGAAGACAGCAGCTGTCAGATATCCAACTGATTTTCCTCCAACCCACAACTACCGCTTACAGACAAGTTCTGTGCTACATTGTTAGAATGATTTATTCCTCAGTTCCTCCATTTTATTAGAAGAGTTCAGCTGTTACATCCCTTTCCAGAGCTGGCAGCATCATGCTGCATTTTAAATCATGCTGTAGCATTCCAAAGAACAATTCTGGCACAGAACGATGAAGTTTTGTTTTAGATACTACGTAAATTCGTCTTGGGACACGTGGTGGGAGCTGCAGATGGCTACAGTTAGAGTAACACAGCTCCTCTGTAGAAATGGAATTTTTCCTGCTTCCCTCTGCGCTGAAATATGGGTAAACTTTCTTTAAGTGGGATGACTGAAGGGATGACATGTGGCACTGTGACTTCCTGGTAAGAGCAGAGGAGTTCCAGGCTCTCACCTGCCTTTGCTGAATTCCTCACAGATAGACCTGTCAGAATGTTCTGTGAAGGACTATCCTGCTTAACATTTCATAGTCTGAATTACTCACCTTGTAATCCAAAAGAGAACTCATTTGATCCACTTCAGAATTACTTATCATATCACTTTCTTCATCATCTATAATTTCTATTTTCTGAAACAGAAGTAAATGGTTCATCCCAAATATGCAAATGTGTACATCAGACAAACAATCCTATCTCAGACTGACATGACAGAGTAAGGGTAAGAGGACCTGGTGCTTGCTTGAGAACAATTTGGAAGTGTGGATCACCCATTAGATGGCAATCATGCACCTCAGCAATAGGATCCAGGAGGAAACCAAATTGAAACTATGCTCAAGAGCTGCTGCTGTGGTGACTCAGGCTGTTTACATGTCACCATGCTTTTGGCATTAAATCACACACTGCATCTCATTACAGCCCACAAAAGCCTGCATTTTATTCCATAAGCTGCTCATTGAAGACTTCCTAGAGAGCAAAGATTATCTCAGTTTACTCCTCTGGAACAAAAAAGACATTACAGCAAGTGACAGGCAAGTCCAAACTGACCTACTTCTCGCCTAAGGAACTGAGGAGGTCCTTTGGCCTACTTTGGTCATAGTGCAAGTCAAATGCTCTAAAATGCATATGAAGACAGCTCTAATTCCATACACATTGACATTTTCCTCTTAAATCATAATAATTCTTGGAATTTTTTTATACTGAGTTTCATAAGCCATCTAAAGTTAAATGTTTAAGGTCAACTTTAATGCTGCTTAAGACTTAGAAATACCATATAATCATATCACAAATTTTAACTATATTAACTTCCACGCACTGTTTTTCTTCCCCACAGAAAGCCTTCTTACATGAAAAAATCAACTCAAAACATAAATTCTGTATTTTCTCCTATAGAAATTACATGTCTTTAATAAACTTATGACATTTTTTTAATTCACATCTAAATCAGATCTCAAAGCTGGAATGATTTTGAATTAGACAATGATAAGAGACTGGCACTTCTACCCAAGAATTCAGAAGGATAACTTGATAAAACCAGAAATTTCTCTCTACTTTTGAGAGGGAAGCAGTGGTCAGGTAAGAAAAGGACGTTTTGGCTGTTTTGTTTGGTTGGTTTTACTATTTCTCACTATTTTGGCATTTGAAAGCATATAACAGAGACTGCATATAATAGGTCAAAGTGGTTTTATTCCACTGTTTAGTACACTATGTAATACAGCATAGGCAACTGACACAATAGATTCTAATGGTTAGTTCTCAAGCTGTTATATTAGAGGAGGTTTCTACACTACAGCTTGCGTGTGTGCCTTCTTCCCGCCTGCAGAGCAGCCATTGGAAGCTTCCTTCTAATCCCCCGTGAGCAACCCATAAGGACTGGCTATCACTCTCACTACCCCACAAGCACGTGTCACAGGGACGGAGGGGAAACTACATTTTCTGTCCTTCAGTGTCTGACAACCCAGCTGAAGTGATAGCACTTCAAAGGCTTAGTATCACAAAGATTTGCTGCTGCATCATACATTGAACAACACTGTGATCTACATATTTTGGGGGTCAGAGGAAAATATTTTTGAGGAAAAAATTTCTAAATAAATGTCAGTCATTCACACTATCTTTCTTATAATTATACATTTTAATATAGCAGGGGAAGGAATAGATCCAAATTTCAAATAAGAAAAAGTGTTATGCAAAGTCCAAGTGCAAGTGCAACAGCACACATTTTAAGAACTGTTACAGCGCTAACAAAACAGACCATGAAAAAAAAAGTCATTTTTGCCTCCCCCCCTTCCCACTTATCAAATTATATAATGCTGGAGTTTAGGTGGAGAACTGAGGCTCTTGGACATCCCCTTTGCAAACCTTTTACCTTTGTCATTTTATATTCTGCATCTCCATGGCAAAAACGTCAGCCTGAGTGATTATATCTAAGGTCATAGCAGGCTGCTATGGTAAACAGAAAGGGGAAAAAGGAGCTGCTTCTATTCAGACAAGCTACAGAACATACAGCCTGGGATTTTTTTTATCCAAAAGCTGACCATATACTAACAAAAGAAAAAAAACAAAAAATGTTCTCTTCTCTACATATATACACATGTAGAGGAAAAAGAATCTCCTGTTCATCAGCCCATCTCAGCTTCTGTGTGATTAACATAAAAACAAATGTGAAATCAGAGCTGTAGCCTCTGGCTGCAATGGCTATAACTGGGACCTGTTCATTCTCCAGATAACTTTTTAAGATATAAATCACCCTACCACTTGGGGTCTTCTCTCTTCTTCCTCCTCTCCTTTCTTCTAATCTGAGAGAAGGCAGGCTAAACAAAGGGACATATTGCATTATTTGCCATGACTCCTCCCTCTGTCTTTCCTTCCTTGTCTCAATGCAGTCAACTAAGAAAAGCAAGAACAACTGTGTTTGACTTAAAGTGAATGCAATTGAGAAAACAATGATCATCTAAATAATGTCCTATTGAGATTAAGGGAATGGACTGATCTCCCAGATTGAGGGCAAGGTACAAAGAGGAAGCACTAACAATACCTGACTTCCTTAAAGCTACCGAAATTTTTCAATTTTTTTCTAATTCTTACTGTTTTAATATAGTAGGTATAACAGAGCACTACCTAAACATTGCACCTTGCACTACAGGAAAAGACCACTGGACTGTTACAGTATGGAAAAAATGTCCAGTATTCAGTTTCTACTGAATGTGCATAATTGTCTCCTCTGGTACTTTTAGTACTGTTTCTTTCAGCACTCCAACAATATGAAAAGACACCCCCAGAACTCACGTGAAGTTTTTACCTAGTGAAAAACATGATGTCGGACAGCAACTTCAACATTAGACATTAAGAAAGTCATATCAGTGGAAAAGGACAGGTGTACATACCACATTATCAGCAGATACTGGATTCCGCTCATCATCTTTGTGATGAATTTCTTCATTTTGAAGAGCTTCATTTGTTTCTTCTGCAAAAAATAAACGAGTTTTTCAGATTTCATTCAAATTTTATGCTTAAGGAATATTAGTTGCCCCTATGACTAAATACGTCACATCTACTAGATACAAAAAATGAAAATCATTATCAGAAGCTAAGCAAAAAATAATACCTATGTCTCATTAAACAAGACACTGTACCACAAGCATCTCAGGCCAAAGTCATGCCAATTGCTAGTTGAAAAGGCAGAAAAAATATCAGTTACTCTCTTGCCACGTACCAAAACGTTCCTAGTTTTAGGTTCAGGTTGGAATATTCAAAGATGATGAAGTGTTTCACACGTCAGAGGTGCCCAGAACATTTTTTTAAGGAATTAATACATGAAAAGTCCAGCATGCCCTGTAATTATAGGGTACATATCAGAATCCTCCTACTTGCAGGCACTGCCTACTTTTGAACAGAACAGTGACCAAGTAGATTATTTCCTTCTTGTATGGCAAACTATTTATTCCTAATAGATCTAGGCTTGGCCTGCCCTGTGTACAAGCGAAGTACATGCCTGAAAACAGAGCAAGTCTTATCCTTAGATCTCAGCACAAGACGATTCCATTAGCCCTGACTACTGCTAGAGAAAGATAAGATATTCTCGTTCCTGTGATTAAGTACGTTTCTCAGATTTACTTTATTTGTCCACATTTAATACAAAGACCTGAAGGAAGCAGTTTAGAGAAACAGCAAATAAATAAGAAACAGAGACAAGAGTGCTCTGGTAAGACTTAAGAGAGGGCATTAACAGTGAGGCCAATGCTGATGGAAACACGCAGGTGCTGCGCAGCCCAGTGCCCACAGCACGAGAGAGGGGCAGAGGGGCAGCAGTGGGACAAGGCATATCTCCTCCAAGCACGCAGAGCAGTAATAGGATTTAACAACAGGATTTAAATGAAGACTATCAGCGCTTGCAGAGAAAGGATAGTATCCAGGCCAGGCCATAGTGAGAGAGTTATTGTTTTCTGCCAGTAAATTTCTCTAAACTGAACAAATGTTAAATTGATCTGAAACAATGCAAAATAATCTGCCACTGGCTGCACTTCAGAGGAAAATTTCTGCAAAAACAAAAGCAAGTGGTTCCAAATGGGAAAAGCATGAGGTGGGGAGCGACCACCACCCACCTTGTGCTGCTTACAGGGACCCCAACACCCCCCAGCAGCCCAGAGCTCCCTCACTCTGCAGCCTGCAGCCACCACTTGCCTCATTCCACCAGTGAATCCAACTCCCTGCAGCACTTTAAAATCTTTAAATGTTCATTCTCAGCTAACATAAACTGGCATAGTTCAGTGGCCTCCATGTTGCATTCATTTACACAAACTAATTTCAAAAAAGACAAGGCACGGTGGGAATCTAAGTGCTTAATTTTGGAGACTATAGGCTTCTTTTTCTTTTCTAATATTTACATGGTACTTTTTAAAAGCTAATGCCTACACTTTCACTCTAATTTGGCAATTTAAAATATCCTAAGAGGTTTTTTGTTTGTTTGTTTTGTTGTTAATTAGGACTGAGTTACATTAGAACAATCACATCTGCGGTGGTGCAGCGTACATGATGGTCGGTGTGACTATTTTCAGGAAGTTCCTAGGAATCTGAGCAGTGAAACCTACTGGTTTCAACTGTAGAAGTCAGCAGAAACAATTCTTGTGGTAGAATGGAAGAGAGACTCCTGGTTGCTACGCAAACCCACAGATTTCTGGTACTTCCTTACACTTTGACTATACTCATCTACTCATAGTCCTACACTCTGCTATAAGAAAGCCTCATTCAATACACACAGTGTTATTTTTCACTTTAAGCTGCAGAAAACTCAGATTCTTCCCCCATCACCACTTTCTTTCAAACAGATCTGACTAAATCAGTGCCTTCCATACCTCAGGCAAATCAAGGACTCTGATTCTGCATCTCACTTGGCTTTCAGTCATTTGACCCATTTCTTAATCATCTTATTCTCTTTATAGTAGGTTATGACAAAGCTATCTCAGATTTATTCCCAGCAGTTCTCCATTTCTCTAGTTCTTTCCTTTAAATTGTTCAGACAAAATGACAAGATCAAGTCTGGCATATGAAACTGAAATACTGCTGCTTGATCAGAATTTCTTTCAGCTTAGACAACAACAGTTTTATTGATCTCTTCTAATCAGAAGCACTGGGAGCAATTAGTCGAGGCTGCAAAGCTGGTGAAAGGAGCAGAGTGGCAATTTGTGCCCTTGGCCCAGAGCATAAGTGTACAGGAGGGGAAGGCAGAGGTTTGTCCCATGTGGTCAGATGGTTCTGTAAGGTGCAGTAAAAGGGAATTAAGTTCCAGACACTTATCACTCCAGAGCATGGAATTCACTGTGAACAAACATGCACCCTGTAGATGCAGTTCTAAGGCTTCCTGAACAGTCCCCAGCTACTGACTTTGATTCTTACTGCAGATCTGTATCTGCCTGTCAAAGCACATACACACACCTCAGGCAGCTTAATGGCACAAGTTCTGCCGTGCTCTGACACAGTCTGAAGCTCTTTTAGTTCAAGACAGAGTTTGAGCTAATTCATTTTCTGAACTTATCATTTTGAGTTTATTGTGGAAACCATAAATGCACAGTTCTGGTCACCTCAAAGCTAGAAGCTTCACACGCATCAGTGCTTGCTTAGCTAAGAATTGTTGATGTGACCCTAACAGAACTGATGTTCAAGTTGGCTGAGTAGAACTGGTAAGTTACCAGAGAGCACTTGTAAAACTCAGCTTCCTGGGGAAAGGAGACTGATCCACTTGTACTGTCTCTCATTCATCTCTCAGTTGCACGTGCAAACTGAACTTGTTAATTAACTTCTAAGGAATCTGGCAGAAAAAGAATCTTATGACAGAAAGTTTCTGAAAGCTTTGTGATAAAAACATGGGCAGCATTCACAGAGAGAGGTAAGAGACCAAATAGTACTGTCTATAGAAAACGACACTCTTTCAGACATTTCTGAACGCATACAGCAGAGAACATGAAGCATGCACACAGTACAAAATTAAAAACACATGCACAGTGGTAACTGCATTTTCAAATACCTTGTGAGCTTCCTTCAGATAAGCAGATTGATACTTCATCATTCCTATCATTATCATCCCCCACTTCAGTAGCAGTTTCCTCTCCTGGATTAAGTGCTGATTTAGAAACAAATTCAGATTGATCAGAGAAATCAGCAGGACCTCCTCTAGGGGGTGGGACCTCAATCCCCATTAAACGGTACTTCCGTCTTCGATTCCCAATCCATGTCTTGCAAGAGAAATAAACATGAATTATAGCAGAAACTATAACAAAAGCAACAGACCCACAATCAAGTGAAATTAGCACATGTGTATTCTAAGAACAGGAGTATAGCCAGCAATCCAAAGGAAGTGACTATTCCTCTGTATTTGGCCTTCATGAGGCTGCTTCCTGGAGTACTGTGTTCAGTTTCAGACCCCAGTGCAAGGGAAGAGGGAAGGAAAGTGCAGAGCAAAAGGAACAGAAGCAAGAGTTGCAAGTTACAACAAGAAAAATTCTGATTAGAACTGAGAAAAAAGAAAGCAGATGTTTTACAGTGATGGCAGTTAAGTACTGGAATGGTTTGTCCACAGGAGTTTTGGAATCTCCAGCCTTGTAGGTATTCAACATTTCAGTGGACAAGGCCCTGACCTAACTATAAAGCCAGCTCTGCTCTGAATAAAGAGAAGAACTAAGAGATCTTGTATGTCCATCCCTCCCTAAATTATTATATGAAATCAATATATGGTCTTGGATTCAAGTTCTCCTGCTTCACAACTTCTAACGTGATCAAACCATCCTGTGACCCAAATAGTCCACCTATTCTAAGATTTCCTACAGCACAAGAGAAAATATTCAAGATGGTAGCTTTACATCGCTTCACTTTGATATGGAAGCATACTTTGTAAAGTAAGTGAAGTAATCTCAAAACAATATTATCTTTGCCTCATCTTTAGTTGCAGGACAAGCCTTTAGGAAAAGAAATTATAGAGCTTCCTAACAGTTAATTGACTTGCTTTCTCTGATAAACTCTAAAGAAAAAATTATGCTAAAATCTTTAAAGACTCAAAAAAAGAGTTCAATGTGATGTAGTAAGAATTGTCAGCAACTCTTTATCTCAACTCTCTTCTTTTCCTTGCATTACCCAAGCTTTTCAGTCTCACCCATTTCAATTCCACTTATCAGCTCTTGTTCACAGACACTTTGTTCCATCAAAATCAGTTTCTCACTGGTATCCAAAAACCCTGGAATCAGCTTCTTTGCCTGACCATAACTTCTAGTCTTCCTGCCTTGGCCCTCCCTTCCATGCCCTGCAAAAGATGGCAGGAGCAGTGCTGCCAGCGCTGGAAGCACATCCACCAGCACTCCAGGACCTGACCACATGCTGGCCAGGTCTGCTAACAAGGGAACTGTGCCACGTAAGCTATAATCATACAGAGCATAGTTGATTACTACAATTATTAGGTACGTATAATACAGTCAATAGTAGGCTCTGAAGCATGGTTAATGCTGGAATTTCTGGATTCCAAAAAACAAATATACCTTTAGAAAGCATGTGCATTGTTATTATTGAAAGCACATTAACAGGGCATGGAAAATGTACATTGCTTCCATAAGGTCTGAGCTCCAACAGAGTTTGCCAAACATATTAGAATGTTACGGGAATTTTTTCTTTAAAGATATATGAAACAACATTACTATGGCCTTATTTTGGAAATAATTGCAACGTTTCTTCTTCCCAATCCACTCAATTTAACTACTGTTCCAACATGCAGCACAATAAAGATTATTAAAAAACTTATTGCTTATAATACCTTAGTTATCAAAGAGAAAAATTAAGAAAGGCAAACTACAATCCTAACTATTATAATTCCATGCTGTGCCAGCCTTGGGAAAAAGTAAAATAAAATACATTAAGCTGCATCTCTAACTAGGTAGAAGATGGAATGGTTAACACCAGTCTTGGCAAATCATTTTTACTACGTGCTACTTGCTTTCCCAGCTCTAATTTTCCTCAGTGACAAATGCAAAACAGATACAAAAAAGCTAAGTAGAGATTGATGTACAATATATATAATTTGGGGTGGCAGTAAGTAGTGTTAACAGCTATGTAGTTTAAGAACCAATATGCTTTTTTTTTTTAGTAAAAGAT